TGTTAAGGAATGCAACTTTGCATTATTTACATTGCAACCCATCATTTTATGTTTAACATATTTCTTACTTTTTGTATTTTAACTTCTTCTCTAATAAAGCTTACTTAAGGAAAGACGTGTTTTTTAATTTCACCTGCGCCAACATAGGTTATGGGCCCAGGCAACGTGGTCGAAATTAAAATTGAAATTAAAATTATTAAAAAGGTAAATATAAACCCTAAAGTCGTTTGTCGACAGTATTACAAAGGTGACTGGTAAAGTGTATTGATAAAATTAAAATCAATAATGAATCACATGGCAGTAGAGAAGCTTAAAGGGGACAATTATGGTCCATGGTCTATTCAAATGAGGAGCTTATTAATAACGCAGGATTTATGGGATGTAACAAGTACACCAAAAGATAACAGTGAGAAAGACTGGGAAAGAAATGGCGCTAAAGCTCTTGCTTATATACTGTTACACATAAAAACTGTAAAACGGCATTTGAGGCATGGAACGCCTTACGAAACATGTATAATGCGAGTGGACCCGCAAGAAAAGTCTCTTTATTAAAAAGACTAATTAAGTTTAACTTCAGCAGCTCGGAAAAATATTTACCGCAGTTAAATGAATTTTGTAACATTGCGGATTCATTAACAGCGATAGGTGTTCATCTTGAAAAGGAATTACTATCTATCTTATTATTATGCAGTCTTCCAAGCGATATGGAAAACTTTGCAGTTGCAATAGAAAGCAGAGATAAATTACCGGAGTTGGATAACTTAAAGGCAAGATTATTAGAAGAGGAAATAAGAAGGAGCGATCAAGATACTGGCGATAGGGTGTTTACTGCGAATTCTAAAAGAACTAAAAAATTTGAGAAAAATGAAACACGAAATAAATATTTCACTCGTGATGCTAACAAAAAAATAAGGTAAAATGCTACAATTGCGGAAAGAGAGGTCATATTCAAGCTGATTGTTTTTTTAAAAATAATAACAAAGAACCTGTTCCGCTAAGTTTAGTAAACAACCAACAAAAACCAAAACTCTCAAGTTGGATTTTGGATAGCGGTGCTTCTACGCATATAAGCAACAACAGCGAACATTTCTTTAATATATCTCGATCATCGCAAAATATAATTTTAGCATCAGGTGAGTGTATAGACGCAGAAGGGATGGGTGACATTATTATAACTGCAGAAAATACAAAGTTGAAGCTACAAAACATTTTGTATGCTCCAAAAATTTATACTAACATATTATCCGGTAGCAAAATTATTTCAAATGGTAATTCGGCAAATTTTGCAAACAATAAAGCAATTGTAAAAAACAAAGATAATAAAACAAAAATAAGCAAGCTCAAAGATCAACTTTCAATTCGTTGAACTTGTGTTTCCAAATAAGGCTGTAGTTTATAAGCTCGTTCTAATTTAATGCACGGCAAATTCTTTGGTTGGTGTCACTAATTAAATAAAAATAAGTGACAATAAAACCTGGAACTTGAGCATTGAAAGTTTGTACAGCCTTGGCTTCTTGTGGATAAACACGATTAGTCATCGCTTCTAATTTGACAGGCACGAGTTCTAAGCCTGGCACTTGCAGTCCAAACAAATTATATACGGACTATAAACTAATTAAATAAAAAATCGATTACTTCCAAAGACCACTGATGAAGAGTACTTGGCAATACTCGAAACAGCGTTGTATGGTCAGCCAAATTTCAATAAATTAAATAAAAAATTTTTGTCTTTGCCTTTCTTTGCTATTCGAATCGG